AAAACACAATAAAAACATGTCACATTTTCTAAAAATCTCAAGTATCAATTTATCAACACATATTTCAAAAATTGTTTCTCAAAAATCCAGGATCCTCCAAAACATATCTCTTGTGTACAGTCAAGCCGGTGCCTTCCTGCGATCCTGAGAAGTACCTGAAACACATAACACACAACACGGTAAGCACGAAGCTTAGTGAGTTTCCCAAAATACCACCCACGGCTCGTTAGCCACTTGAGGCTATAACTCAATAAGACCCTCCGGTCAATGTGTCTCAGTGGGACCCTCCGGTCCTACAGCTCGGGTGGACCCTCTGGTCCTAACTCAGATGGACCCTTCGGTCCTAACTCGGTAAGTTCAAAATAATACACAACATAAATCACATAGACATAATGTATGATATCACAATACTCAATATAAACACATAAGACCCTCTGTTCACACAAAGATTACCACTTTAGGTAAAGTATAGTGAGAAGACTCACCTCGTAAGTAAGCAAGTAACAACCTCGTACACGTAATCTCGAGCTAGCCTCCGCCTAACAGATAGGATAATTATCTCTAATTAATAGTCTATTCATACTCAAAATAAACCGAAGGTTACACACTCTCTTTCTAACTCTTAAGATGGGTAAAAGACCATTTTACCCCTCCATGGTCTCCATTACTCATGTTTGATCAAACCCTAAAGTCAACAGAAGTCAAACTCGAGTCAACAGTCCATGTTTGACCCGACTCGCTGAGGGCATCCATGTGACTCGTCAAGTCTACTCGTTTCCTCACAAGTATCGTGAAGGTCCAACTCAACCCGTCGAGTTGACCCCCAACTTGCTGAGTTATCGCATGATCAAACTCATCGGGACAAACCTTAACCGACTCATCGAGTCAGCTCATGGACTCGACAAGTCCCTTAAATCTGATTTCTATTTCAGAGGTTTCAAAGCAGATCTACCACTCCAAACACTAGATCTAGCATCCCAAGACTCGATTGTCACGTAAAGCTTCGATCTTTACGTTCATGCATGGCATATTTGCTCCATATTACCAAATACATGCTCTCACAAGGTCTTAAGCACAGAAAAACTCTTTTGGCTTATTAAAGTTAGGACCTTTGGACTAAAGGGACCTCACAATGTCCAGATCTGAAGTCTAGACCTCCTAATAGACTCCATGCATTCATTGTCCCAACCAAATGTGGTAAAAGCCCTAACTTCCATACTCAAAAGATCTAACTAAATAAATGAGAAATGTGCAATCTTTTACCTTCCACAGAAGCTCTAAGTGAAGGAATTGTTGGATCCCATAGTATCTCCTCATCCCTTGCTTGTATCACCCTTCTTTCCTTCTAAAAGTTTCACCAAAATACTTAAAAGTTAGCTCAAACACTCTCTCTTAGATCAATGGACGATTAGGGTTTCTCTCAGTGAAGTTGGGTACCCGGTGAGGCGTAAATGGGGACATAAGTTCTCTTAAATAGGCCCCAACCCCGGGATTTAGGGTTTCATCACACAACGCCTACTCGACGAGTCGACTCTTTGACTCGTCGAGTAGGTTACTAATCCCACGTACCTAAATATGACTCTACTCGACGAGTTGAAGCACCTATTCGTCAAGTTGCTCAATAGGCCTAAAAAAATAAAATAAAATAAATAATATACCTGAGAGTCCGGATTTTACATTTGAAGGTTTCCCCTTGAAGATATTAATGTTCTTGGATGACAATTGAGAGCAAAATGAGAGTGTTTTCAGGAGAAATGAGTGAGAAATGATCAAGTTTTCGAGGAAAAACCTTTATATCGGTTGGGTTTTCGGCTGTAAAAGAAGTTCTCGACCGAGAATGGGTCTTCGACCGAAATCAGTTCTCGGTCCAAAGGTTTTCGGCCGAAAAGGGTTTTATGCGAGGGTTTTCGATTCCGAGGAAAACCTTAGTTTTTGTGTGTTATTGATTCCGAAACTTATATAAACATTATTTATATAATTTAAGTTATTTTCTAACCTTCAAGAATTTACGAAATAAATAAAACTCAAAATTTTATTTTTCGGATGACTTTTTATTGACCGGAAGGTATCGGGTTGCCACATATACAAAATTAACAACTCATTTACATGTATAAAATTCAGATGTAGATAAAAAAAAATCATAATTCACAGTTTAATAAAACATTTCGGACACTAATTCAATGTTTAATTCAATATTTCAAACACTAAAATTCACAACTTAATGTATCAAAAAATCAAAATTCATAGTATAATACACATTTCAGACATAAATTCATAGTTTAATACAAAATTTTAAACATTTATTCACAATTTAAAAACTTACAGATCTCGTTAATACATTTAATCAAACACCTTATCTTGATATTGTTTTCAGATATAATGTGATTTATAGATAATTTTTCGACATGATATAAAGTTTTTGAATTTTTTTATGAATATAGTATAATTTTTCGACATGATATTTTTAAATCATATATACTACTTAAATTTTATCAAGGTTTCCTCTTTTAAAATTATTTATGAAAAGAATACATTCATCTATTAAAAATTCTGTTTGAAATATATAACATCTCAGAGTAAAACGGTCTTAGATTTTATCAAGATCCCCTCTCTTAAAATTATAACATCTCAAAGCAAAACCGATGGGTAGAGATGGAAAACCGATGGGTAGAGAGGGGTTTCCTTTTAAGTAATTTATTAGGTCAAAATCTCTAGAGGAAAGTAAATTCATGGCAACCTATTATCAATTGACACGTATTTAGATCCAATGAAGCAAAAGAAACTTCTCGAAAACGAATTCTATTGACGTAACTTCTCGTGCTTTCTTTTACCTCTGTCCCACACGCACTTTTCTCTTTCTTCATTCAATGTAATAATACTTTTTCTCTTTTCTTTTCTTCAACTTTCTACCCCTTTCTCGGTCGTCTTCCTATTTCTTCCATACGAACATTCTAGAATCGTCAAACATAACGCCCTAATTCTGCCGATCTCTGTATTCTCCGATCAGATAGTTTGATATTCGTACACTGACATACGCGTCTCTTAATCGGTATGTTCGTTGATATATATATTTTTTAATTTTTTTATTATGTTCGAGTTGTTTTTGTTGAAATTTAGATATTTGTTTGTTAAATTTTGGATTTGGTATGGTGAAGATTGTTCGATGAACATGGCTCCTCCGCCGGTGGAGAGGAGCGGCGGAGAGTCCATGGCCGCAGATACGACATCCAGATCTCTTCCGACGCCATTTCTGACGAAAACTTACCAGCTTGTGGATGATAAAACGATCGACGATGTGATCTCTTGGAACGAAGACGGATCTAGCTTTGTCGTTTGGAATCCTACCGAATTTGCCAAGGATTTGCTACCGAAATACTTCAAGCACAATAATTTCTCTAGCTTTGTCCGCCAGTTGAACACCTATGTAAGTTTAATGTAAACTGCTTAATTAATTCACAATCAGACGTTTTATTTTTATTTTTTATGGACGCATATTTATTTATTTTCCATTGTACTCGTAGGGATTCAGGAAGCTTGTACCAGATCGATGGGAATTCTCAAACGATTGCTTTCGTAGAGGTGAGAAACGTCTGTTATGCGACATACAACGTAGAAAGATCGCATCTGCTTCACCAGCGCCAGCCATTGCTGCTACTCCGGTGACGACCGTGGCGGCGTTATCGCCTGTTCATCCTGTAACCGTCTCTCCCAGCAATTCAGGCGAAGAACAAGTAGTGTCGTCGAACTCGTCTCGAGGCGCTACAACTTATTTATCTCGAGAAACAACAGCTTCTGGTGGAACTAACGCGGAACTTATTGATGAAAACGAGAGGTTGAGGAAAGAGAACGTTCTACTCAACAAAGAATTAAGTCAGATGAAGAATCTATGCAACAGAATATACATGATGATGTCAAATTACGCCACTAATTACAATAACCCATCGGAAGGCAACACCAATACCTCACAACAACAGACGGTTACGGCGGAAACAACCACCGTGACACCACTAAATCTCTTGCCGTTAAAGCGTTTATCAGAAGACCGAAATGGCAGCGGTAGTCGTCGACGATCACCAGAACCTGAGGAGGATATTAGTCCCAGATTATTCGGTGTTCCGATAGGTGTGAAACGGGCGAGAGAGGGAAACGATGGTGAAGCGGCGGAGCAGCACCATGAGTTGCAGTTGCAACAGCCGAGGGTCCACGTGAAATTAGAGCCGTCGGATGATACCGCAAAGGGGGTCGGTAACGGTGTTGATTGCAAGGAATCCAGTTGGATGATGAAACACTGTCAGCGGTCGGGATCGGAAAGTGTTATTATGATCCTGTTGGGTTATAAAATCTATCTTTGTCATTGTCATTGTGGGGTCAGGTACAAGAAACTTCTTAGGCATATTTTCAAATATATCCTTCATTAAAAAATAGATTTTCTAGAGCCTAGTAATCATCCCTAAACCATATCGATAGACATTTTTAGCACATGATATTTGTTAGGGACAATATTTATTTACAGGTAGACAAGCTTGCCTTGATATGTGTATGAAAAAACTTGAAGATAGTTTATCTAAGTGATAGAAATGATGTATTAGTCGAGAATTGTCATACAAGTCAAGACTCGTGTGTAATTTCAATGTTGCATAATATATACTTTATCATATAGCTGAGAAAAAAAAATGCAAAAAGAATCAAGTCGCGTAGAGGAAGTTATGTAAAAACGATGAATTAGCAAATTACATCAAAGCGCTCCAAAAGAGCAAAAAGTATCATCGATTAAAAGAGAAAAAAGGGGCATCGTCTTAGGGTATTTCACCTCATAGCAATCATATGAGTGCTAGGGACTATTTTGAGTGAAATGAAGTGTACTGATAATGATTCCTTGATGGCTTAACAAGATGGAAAAGCTATGATCTTGAGGCAATTGTGTTGTACTGATAAGGTTATGGTATTAAGTTAAAATCGGGGTTTTGAATGATGGTTATTGCACGAATGTTATTTGTTATTTGACATGTGACGAACTTAAAGGGTTAAATAAATAATAAACAAGTGTGCTTGTAAATATTTTATGTGAATTGATATATGAAAGTCATGAAATGATAGAGATTGGTTATGTTAGGTTCTTGAAGATGAAGTGATATGTACACACTTAGACGATGTGTTATGGGTCTTATTGAGACTCGTTGTGGCTGAAATGGACGGCCTTAACGTAGTCGTAACGGGGGGAACATCGCCCCCCTACTTGTTGCATCTCGTTAAGTCAATTCTTGTGACCGTTGCGACGTATTGAAACGGCGAAAAAATATACGTTGGGGAGTTAATGACCGTTGCAAACGGCCAATATTCAAAATAATAATAATAAAAATTTACATTTTTTAACTTTATATATATACTCATTTTAATTCAACTTTTACATCTTTCTATTATTCTATATTTTATACACTTTCTTAATCAAAAAATGGATATCATCAAACCCAAACACACAATCAAACACAACATAGTCTCTCGGATTGGTGGATTATAAAAATTATTTCAACCTTTTATCGTCTCAAGGATCACCACAAATCTTATACCAATGCGCCATTTTCAATCCGGCTTCAACACCACTATAATTTTCCAACTCACCTTACCTTCAACAAAAATCTATTTGGTCAAAATCCAAATTTACAACAAAATATTTTCCTTATTTTTGCTTCGATGCAACAACCAACCAACCAACCACCACCTACAACACAACCATTGGTTGTAGTGGAAGTAGGAGGTAGTAGGAGAGGGAAAGGGAAAGGAAAATCAATAGAGGTTGAAGCAAAAAATGCAGACATTTCACAATGGTAGACACTGGAGGAGGAATATGCTGACGGCGGCTTGATGTACTACTTCAAAAGACGAACTCCACGGAAATGGAATGAAGAAAGAAGCTTATTGGGGGCGGTCTGCGACAAGTTTCACACTATTTTGAAGAAAAATCCGTATCGCAATAATGACATGTGAGCAGCAAATGGAGTCAAATAACTAAGCGGTGCATTAAATTCAACGGTATTTACAACCGGCTTGAGGCGCCACAGCAAAGCGGAACCAACAACTTCGATTTGTTCAAATCTGCAAAAAGAACAATATCGGGCCGAAATTGGACATGTTTTCGAGTTTGAAAAATCATGGGAGTTGTTGCGAGCGGATCCAAAATGGAATAAAACGCTTACATCGTCGGTGGTTCAATCCAAAAGATCTCGCAATTCGAGCTCCGTCGACATGTCGGACGCACAGACTCACATCGACCCAAACACTGACACCGATGAGATCTCGAATGATATCGAGGAGATATCCCCACGACGACGACTGCCCGGACGCGACAAAGCGAGGCGCGCTGCTAGGCATGCAAAGGAGGTTGAGGCGAAAGCAAAAGAGGTGGCAGAAATGAGAGCGAAATTCGACGAGCACAATTTATTAATAAAAGAAAAAAATGACTTGAAAAGTCGTCATTTGGAGTTCCTAGAAAGGCAGGCACGTGAGAAGCAGGGGCAAAAAGATAGAGAACTAATGACACAACAATTGTCAATTCTTTGGACTAGCGTGTAGGATTTGGCGCCTCAAGAGCTAGCGGTGGTACAAGCAATGAAGGATCAAATTAGGAACAAGTATTTGGGTTAATTTGGATTTTAGGAGTAATTTGAATGGTGTTTTATAACATCCGGTTTTCCAGGTATATAAATTTAAGTATTTATTTTAAGGATTTTGGGTGGACTCGACGAGTTCGTGCCTCAACTCGTCGAGTGGGATCGCAACTTGGTGACGTGTTTAATGAATGGACTCGACGAGTCGGATATTTGACTCGCCGAGTCAACGCTGCTGAGGGAAACCCTAACTGCTCGTGTTTGTGGCCTATTTAAAGGCTCTTATAGCCTCCATTTGCGGCCACACTTTCCCTTGAGAGACCCTAATCGATCCGAAGAGCTGAGAGAGAGAGAGAGAGAGAGAGAGAAATCTAATTTCTTCATTTTGGTGCACTCTTGCAAGGAAGAAGAAGAGGATTCAAGCTTAGCTGTCTAGAGGGGCTAAGATCTTTCACGAATGTTTAGTAGATCTATTGAAGTTAGGGTTTCTTTACCCTCTTTTAAGTTGAGTTATGAAATATGTGAAGTCCCTTTGAGGCTTAGACATCAGATGTGGACCTTGAGAGGTCCAAAGAGCCCCAAGAACCCAACTTTATGCAGTCACATAAGAATATTGAGCCTAAGACACCATTATGAGGGCTATTTTGTCAAATAGAGCTAGATGAGTGATGCATGGACACAAAGGTTGAACCTTTACGTGATTAATGAGCCTTGAGTGCATAGATCCAAAGTTTGGGAAAGTATCTTGCGCTAAATCGACTAAATGCAAAAGAGTCTGAATAGACTCGCCGAGTCGAGCCGCTGACTCGGCGTGTAGCCCAGGGTTTTATCCCGATGAACTGAGTCAGATGGTGACCCATCGAGTTAGGGGTTAGCTCGTCGAGATGGAGCTTGCTGGGGTTGCCATGAATCGACTGGACTCGATGAGTCTAGTCAAAGTTGGACCGTTGACTGGAGTTAACTTCTGTTGACTTTAGGGTTTGGTCAAAATGAGTGAAAGAGGTATGGGAAGGGTAGAATGGACTTCTACCCACTTTTCAGAGATAAGAGTAGAATATTAATTAGAAATATTAACTTGTGATAGGCGGAGGCTAGACCGAGGATTTCGGGCACAAGATTTTACTAGCTATCTTACGAAGTGAGTCTTCTCACTATACTTTACCTAGAGTGGTAACTATGTGTGACCAGAGGGTCTTATGTGCTTGTTTGAGTTATGCATGATTGTGTGATATGTATTGTATGCTATATTATTTGTTGCTTAGACCGGACCGGAGGGTCCAACGAACTATGAGGCCAGAGGGTTGATATATGCATATTTAGCTTAGTATAGATTTTTATCAATTATTAGCTAATTATTTGCATAATATGGACAAAAGGTACTTAATAATGTCTAGATTATATTTTCAGTCCAGAAGACATGCTCGGAAGCAAAAAGAAGGAAGGAGAAGCAATTAGAAGCTGGAGAATGAAGAAAGAAGAACAAACCTGGAGCTACTCGACGAGTCCAGATTCTACTCGGCGAGTTCCAATGAATGTTCGCGAAGTGATGTCCAGAATCCTTGCCGTACACGTATTTCTCAAAGGAACTCTCCGAGTTGGGTACCTACTCTCCGAGTTGCCCGTGTTTTAAGGAAATTATAAATAAGAGATCCAATACCAAATTGAGGATCTTTTTGGCTTTTCTGGAGAATAACTTACGACTAAGGAGAACCTTGGAGACCTGAAGAACCCTAATCTTTCATCTTTAGAATACTCAAGGTGAATTCGGTTATATTTTCCACTTATTCTTAGAATTGAACCATGTTTAGATTAACTAATTTCGTTTTTAGCTTCTCCTATACTTTAATCATGAGCTGATTCGTAGTTTCCGTTTAGGAAAGACCAATTTACTCCTATGGTTGATTTATACTTTGATTGATTGATTATTGGTGATTTTATTAAATCAAGCTTGTTAAAGACCCTTATGCATTAACCATAACTATTTTCTAGTTAATAGGAAGACAATTAAGCTGCATGAACATCTCTTAATTGTTGACCTTATATGATTTATGTGAACACTTTATTATATGCCTAGGATTAGTGAATATGAAACTAGGATTAATTAGAGAACGGGTAAATTAATGTGTAAGCTTGTTTGATAAACCAACACACAAGAGGCTAGTTGAATTACTAATTTGATTAACCAACTACAAGTCTTATTTAATCTGAATAATTGAACTAGGGAATTAATTAGTTTAAACACTTGATCGCTGCTTGAATTGATTAATTTTCTAAGGTTTGGTAATAGCGAATGCGAATCTAATCCCTATAGTCGGTAACCAGTAGCAATTAATCTATTACTTTATCATAAAATTAACCATAGGAGTGAATTGGTTGGACCTAAACATAAACCCTTTTATTAAATTTGGTGAATTTTTACTTGCTTTTAGTTGATTAGTTAATTACGTGTTAGGTGGCGTGTTTAAGTTTCTAGTCTTGAAAAACTAGAGAAAACCCTTCACATTTATTACTATTTTAGTTAAAACTAGTTATTACTTTAATTTTCGTTCCCTGAGTTCGACACCATGCTTATCTAACTATACCACTAAAAGATAGGTTCACTGTCTTTGTGTGCTAAATCTATATTTTTAGAGTAGGAATAAAACCAGTGCATTTTACACACATCAAGGGTTCTCACTCAAACCAGAACAGATGGTCCAACGAGCTAGACCGGACCAGAGGGTCCAACGAGCTAAGGGACTGGAGGGTCCCGCTAAGACACATGGACCGGAGGGTTTTACAGAGTATAGCCTCGAGTGGTGAATTTGTTGTATGTGGTATTTTGGGGATCTTAATATGCATTCGTGCTTACCGTGTTATGTGTTATGTGTTTCAAGTACCTTGGGAGATAACGGGAAGGCGCCGGTATGATTGTACACACACACGCGCAGTCAAGATGGAACATGTTAGAGGATCCTGAATTTGAATAATTGTTTTAAAAACTTGCTGTCTGTTTTTGAGAATTAATGATAAGACATATGTTTTATGAATGTTAAAATTGAAAATTTTGGTTTGAAAAATTATGTCGTTACAAGTTGGTATCAGAGCCTTGGTTTGAGGGATTCGGATACACCTACGGGCATATCTGGACCCAAACTGAGGATTTGAGAAAAAAATTCAAAAAAAGAAATATTTTTTCTAAAAAGAGCAAAAGATTCCAGAAAAAAAGGAAAAGAGCAGTGTGTACAACCAGCCAGCGCCCGAACGGTGATTTCCCAAAATACCCTTACGTTATGTGTTTTGAGATGTGTTATGCATTGTAGAGTAGGCTAGGTATTCATATTTGGGACTAGAGTGGTCTGATTTGTGATGCCTTAGCCTAGGAGTTACTGCTACTGTGAATTTCTTCGAGTGTTTGTAG